ATGCCAGCTCCAGTTTGGGACCGTTCATGAAGATTTGGGGTGGAGTGTGGGGGAGAGGATGGACCTCAGTGGTGTATAAATGCCAAAGAGTCCATCGTTAAAAGTTGCCATTTCCTCTATGGGAACTAATCTCTGTAACCTTGCAATCCATTGTAATTCCGAGAGATTGCCAGGCCCCAACCTGGAAGAAAGCAACCCTACTTCGAGTGCTGTTTTAAGGCTGAAGAGTAGCATAGATGGCAACCAGCTAACTGAACAGTTCATCTCCAGTCAGCAGATGCACTCTGGCTTCCAACTGCAGGAGACCCCATTGCCTCAGAGTACCTCCAAGGCCCAGTCACCACGGCGACCCCTGCTGCCCAGCTTCAGTAAGGCTCACCAGGGCATCATTGGCTTGCCTGGCTTCATCTTCCACCTCAAACAGGCGCCTTTCCAGCTCCTCCTTGGCTCGCTCAGCCTCTTCACGCAGCTGCTTCTCCCTGGCGAGCCGTTGGTGCTCCATCTGTAAAATTGTAACATTCAGTAGTCAGGCACAGCCAGGAGCAGCAGCCCAGTTTAAGCAAGACGCTCCTGTGAGCATAAAGGTTCGTAGGTGAGCACTTTTGTTTTGCCATCATTTGTGTGTACAACGATCCCTGCTCACCTCAGCTGCGGGACTATTGATTAGCCTGCTGGAACCCACTATTTACAAGGAACGACGAGTCCTCATTATCATCCACCTCAGTCTTTAGGGAGGCCAACATCCAAGCAGGCCCTGGCGATCCACCTGGACAGAAGGATGCCAGCCTCCAGGTGGGACCGCAATGTTTTGTGGAGTCTTGTGAGCAGAAATTCTACCTTGTGAGCTACTGGCATTGAAAGTTGTGAGCGAGCCACTTGGCTACTGTATATATTAGTTTGCTCTGGAGCCATCCTCCCTGAGCTAAGACAAAAATCTGTGAGCTGGAGGCTAAAAAACTGTGAGCTGGCTCACACCAACTCAGCTCAGAGGGAACACTGGACCTGAGGATCCCCCAGAATTACAGCTCATCTCCAGATTACAGAGATCAGTTCCTCCGGAGATGATGAATCCTTTGAAGGGTGAACTCTCTGGCATTGTATACCACTGAGGTCCCTGTCCTCCCCAGATTTCACCCCCCAAATCTCCAGGAGTTCCCCTACCTGGAGCTGGCATCCCTACACCCCACCCTCAGCCAGCAGTTGGGGGGACCTGGCAACTCTACCTGGAATTACAACTGATCTCCAGACCACAAGAGCTCAGTTCCCCTGGAGAAAATGGCTGCTTCAGAGGGTGGACTCTATGGCAACCTACTCCACTGAGGTCCCTCCCCTCCCTAGGCTCCACCCCCAAATCTCCAGGAATTTCCCAACCCTGAGCTGGCAAGCCTAGCCACTGAACCCTGCAAGCCAGATGGCAAGCTGATCAAGAGCTTTCTGACCGGAAAAGCATTTTCAGCAGCTGTGGAGCCAACGTTCCCCCCACAGGGTCACCTTCTTTCTAGCCTTCTCTTCCCTGGCTTGAGCTTTCATTTGCTGGATCTCAATGGGGTCTACTCTCCTCCTCCGCATGAACAAGTCGTGGTTTCCAATGAAAAGCTGCATGATCTGCAGGAAGAAAACAGGAGTGTTTTTGCTGGGCCACAGCAAAGGTCCAACGTTGGGCTTCCAGCAGACGTCACACAGATGTTTCTGGAAAGCGTACAAGCAGGGCGAGAAGTTCATGGACATCCAGTTTCTCAAGTTGTTTTGCAGACAATTAAAGATGCTGGGGATGCCCTAACAAAGCCCTGAAGTGCTTGGGCCAGCCTACTCAAAAGACCACTCCCATCCTTACGTTTCATCAGATACGTGTGTTAAGTCAACACTACGAATTAATGACCTCCAAAACATTCTATCGTTAACAACCTTGCTCAGGTATTGCAAACTGAGGGCTGTGACAATCCATCTCATACTGGGTCTTCCTCTTTTCCTGCTGCCTTCACCTTTTCCTAGCATTATTGTCTTTTTATCAGACATACATGCAGAGAGGCATTTTTGGTGGCTTTCCCTTGGCCCTGGAATTCCCTCTCCCGGAGACTTGCCAAAGCCTAATCTAGAAGAGAAAAGATTGCTTTGTTCAAATTGGTATCCAGGGGAGATAGATAAGATTGGATTGGATTGCAGTAACAGGGAATCGTGTCATTATACAAGTTGTTCCAAGCCCTTGGGATGCGATGGGCTATAAATCATATCAAGTGAAACACAATTTTTAAAGATTAACCTTAACCAGAGGTATGCTGCCTCTCTACCTGGAAGTTCCATTCACAGTTATTATGTCACTCAGAGGGTGCGGTCAGACGGTGTGCTGGGAGTGGTTTAAATTGCTCCGGCCCTGTTGCGGTCTTTTTTAACCTGGAGAATCATGATCACACTCACCTCCTTGCTCCGGATCGCTGCACAGCCACATCGCTCCCCGCCGTCCACACGCAGGAGCGTGCGTTGCTGTTCTTTTTTTCTCTCTCAGTTTGGGCATGCGCACAGGCAGCCATCTGCAGTACTAAAATTTTTGTGCGTGCGCAGAACAGCGATTTCCACTTCAATCCGACTGCTGTAACACTTCCCATTAAACTTTAAAGGAACACTTCCCTTTAAACGTTTACCCCGAAAATGGCCTCCGTGAGATCCCGAACTCGTCTAAACGCTAAAACTAGGCACCGTTTAAACATTGTTTTTAATAACGTGGTGGCAGACCTCCGCCTATGCGCACACCGCCAACACTTAAAAAAAATGGCAGGCAAAAAGTGGAAGCCTCGGGCAGCTTTCGAGCGGTGAGGGGGTTTAAACCGGAAGTGGCTCGACACCGCAGGAGCGATCAGATGTCAGAAAAGTGCGGCTGGAACTGGAGAATCAGGAAAGCACCACTTGGGGACCTGGTATCAAAATACTCCAGGTTAAAGCAGTTTTGAGCCGGAAATAGACGACTGGGGAAGGGAGGCAGATGTTGACTGTGTGATCGCGCAGATAAAATCCGTTTCTGAGGCGGGCTGCAAGCGGACTAAACGGCCCATCTGAATGCACCCAGAGGAAGAAAAACTCCTATTACCTATTCCTTTCAAGGCGAGGACAGAATTATTCATATTTTACTGACAGGTGAACAAAGGCAGAGAGGTAAAGGACTTGCCCCTGATCACACTGCAGGCTCCTGGATCAGGTCCAAGCTGAGCACTGCACCAACAGATCACTTACCCCTCATTCTAGTGTGTTATTTCATTCTTTAATAGCCACCAGGAACCTGGCTTTTTTACACCGCTCCCTCCCAGCATGACAGAAAGACACCCTCAGGGCGGCAGCCCACAGGAAACCCTCACCAGTTTATTGACTTTGGGCTGTGAGGAGAAGAACTTGAAGACTTCGGCTTTCTTGTCAATAGGCTTAATTGTTAACTGGAGAGAGAGAAGAAAAAGAGGGCGTAGTCCACCTCATGATGAAACAGGTCACAAAGACAAACAGGCAAACATACCTCAAGGCATACTGGTGCCAGGGAAGGGGAAAAGATCCGAACAGAATTGACCATCCCCTCCCAAGACGGAACACCCAGCTAAGTCCCAGTTCCATCTGAGACACTCCCTCCTTCTGGCTTCCAAGTACCAACAATGAGCCACCAGATGGAAGACAGAAAGCAGCCGGGTGCCTCCCCAACAGGCCTGGATCAGCCAAGAGGCCCTCTGCTCCCCAGCTTCCAACCACCACCAATGGGTCCATCAGAAGACGCAGTCGAGCCCTTCCTCTGCCATGCCAACTGGATCCCAGCCCAACTGAGGAGGTCTTTCTTTGAGCTTCTCACTGATCCGGCTCCTTTCATGAATACACAAAGAGCTGCCCTGTACTATCAGACCCTTGGTTTGTCAAGGTTCGTGTTGTGTACTCTGACTGGCAGTGGCTCTCCAGGGTCCCACGGGTCAAGGTCTTTTGCACCACCTGCTATCGATCCTTTTAATTGGGATGCTGGGGATTGAACTGGGAACCTTCCGTACACGGAGCAGATGCTCTATCACCGAGCCAAGGCTCCTTATGGAGCTTTGACACTTTAGAGACGTTTTAAGGTTTTATTTGCCTACATAAACTAACGAGACCTATGACTCTGGAATATATAACTATAGAAAACAAAATAAAATGTGGTCCATGATCCACAGGGAAATCCTCCTTCCTGAGACCTTTTGAAATGGACAGACGTTGCCCCAGAGCACAAGCATCTGTAAGGGCTGCACCTGTCAGGATCCAACTCTGCCACTCTAGATGGCAGCATAAATCCACTGCCCCCGGCAACGCCTCCTCCCCGGGACACCATCGCAGCGCACCTTCCTACCTCTTTCTCGCTGTAGGAAATGTTCCGAATGCTGCTCCATTCGAAAGACTTGTTGGGAGAGAACCGATTGTTGATACTGTACACGTGGATCCCTTTGGCATCGACACCGAGAAGGAAATCTGTGTGATTCTTCTTTTGCTGCAGAGAACAGTTGGAGATACAAGACCAGAGTGAAAACCTATGACACACTTGGGCTCAGTCTCCACAAGGGGTGGCTGAACCAGATAGCCATTACCGGGCCCGTAGCCAGGAATTTCTAAGTCAGGGGGCATTTTGATTCCTCAGGGGGCACTGGGGCACTGGCTAATTTGATTAAAAGTAATTTAATTGCCGACTTCTTGGCGCTCTCGGGTGTGGCGGCAGCGCCCTCCACCTGGCCATCAGCTCTGCCTGCCTTGAGCTTTGGCATCTTGCGCCTCCTCCCTGGTGCTGCCCTCCACCCACCCCAGCTGCCGGCTCGCCTTTCCCCAATGCAGAAAAGATGCTCTGGATTGTGTACTTGTGAATACTGTGGGAACACAATCAAAGAAGGAAATTTTTGGACCATAAGTTTATTTTATAACCACTGGGCTAGTGATTGCACTTTAAAGGTCTTATGTGGATATTTACCCTGTGCCTGGTGATTTTACTTTTGAACAATTTACTTTATGGTCCTTATTGAATCTATATTTTGTATATATTTCTGATTGTGTTTATGTGAATATAATTATTAACCATCTTGCCACATATGTATGACCTCTGAGGAAGGCCTATTTGGCCGAAACGCGTAAGGTCAACTTTTTAAGCCCTTGATATTGTTAGGTTTTATATACATTGGTTGTAAAAGGGCCCCTATATATTTTTTAAAATTTGTTATTATTAATAAATACATGTACCTCTTTTTATGTTTTATGGAAAGGTTTCAATATTGGCCCTCCTTTTCACTAACCTTTGTTTGGTTCTGGAGTTTATTGTTAGGTTTAGTTTTTTTACCTTCTTGTTTCTGCTAGATCATCCTTTGTAACCATCTTGAAGCACTTTATTTTGTGTATATTGTAATTGCGTGTTTTATCTTGTTTTCTAGATCAGCATGTGTGCCTTGTTGTTAGCCGCCCTGAGCCCGCTTGGCGGGGAGGGCGGCCTATAAATTGAATGATAAAATTAAAAAATAAATAAGCTGTGGAAAGGGTCAAACGCAATGTATCATCAAGGCTAAGAGCTATAGAAAGATGGGAATAAATGTTTTAAATAAATATTCATGTATTTTACTTTTTTGTATTTTTGCATTTCTGTGTGTGTGTGCCTGGAAGTCATGGTGACCTCTGGTGACTCCTACTGGGACATGGAGGACATTCAGAGAAGTGGCTTCACAGCCTGCCTCCGGCCCTGGTATTTTCTGGAGGTCTCCCATCTAAATACTTTCCAGGGTCAGCCCTGCTTAGCTTCTGAGATCTGATGAGATCGGACTTGCCTGGGCTATCCAGGCCAGGGCTTGTTTTATTATTTTTAATGTAACTGTGGACCTTGTAATTTCAGCCAGTGTATGCATCAGAAAACCCCCAGTTTTAATCTCATCTCTGCCACAAAATCTCTAGGTCTAACCCAGGTCCGAATAGTAGGTCCTTAGGTCCAAACTAGGGTGTAGACTTTCCAATTTCCCGGGGGGGGGGGGGGCTGGGCCTGGGCCAGAGGCATTGCTTTGCTAGGAGCAAGGGTGGCTCCCGGGGGAGGCTGAGCACCTTCCTGAAAATTTCGGCGGGGGCTGAAGCCCCGCCACCCCCACGAAGATTACGCCTATTTAACTTTTACCCCGCCCTCCTCGCCAAGGCGGGCTCAGGGCGGCTTCCATAAAACTGATAAACAGTATACATTTTACAAATGATAAAATACAATAAATCATTTAAAACACAGACAAATCAATTTAAAACATAACTTCGATGGTGATAGGAATAAAGTGCAGTTTAAGGACACATTCAGCGGTGCCACCGCGCTAGGTCATGCTGGGTCTGAGTTCACACAGAGCGCTGCTGGTAAGACGCCGCTCCTAACGGAATGCCTGCCTAAAAAGCTCTGTTGTCACGGCCCTGCGGAACTGTGAAAGGTCCCACAGGGCCCTGATCTCCGCAGGAAGCTTGATCCAATAGGACGGAGCTACGAACGAGAAAGCCCTCCCAGCCTCCCATCTGTAATATGCACTACTGGCCTACCTTACAGGGCTGCTGTGAGGATTACAAGAGGACATATGTGAAGTGCTTTGAACTCTGAAAGTGTCGTGTAAATGCTGTACTAGCATACTACAGTTTAATCAGAATCTTTCCTGAGAACACTGGCATTATGAAGTCTTCCCCATTTTGGATTTTTTGGTGCAGTCATTTATTTTACTTCTGAACAGGGGAAGATGCCAACAACATGCAGGTGGCAGCTTTGGATTCCAAAAGCTTCAATTGGGTGATGGCACCCCCCACCCACCCGCTCCTGTCTTTACCCCATTCTGCGCTATTCAATTTTCACCCTTCACATCTCTTGTCCTTCTAATTTAGACTTCTGAATAGGTTTACCCGTTTTGTACAGCACTTTGCATGTGGTCTGCACTACGTAAATATTAAATGATTGTGAATCAGGTAGGTTTTGAACATGACAGGTGCACAACAGGTGCACAACAGTAAAAGTGCACAACAGTAAAAGAGAAAAAACAATCTGTACTTACAGCAATGGGAAAATAATTAACCCCGTACATTTCCAAGTCCTGTGCGATTTTTAGGTAGTTCATCTCAGCTTCATACCTGGAGGGAGAAGACCAAAGCTGTGTTTGGAAATACAAGTTCCAATCCAGGAAATTTAAGAACTTTACTGCTTTTGGGTAGACGGAAGCAGTTGTGTTCCATTTTCGTAGCCCCATCATTCTCAATCTTATACATTAAGGGGAAAAAAACCCTATGTTCAGAGATGCCCATCTGTCTGTCATGCTGCAGGGGAACTGAGGAATGGAACCCAAGGTAAAGGTAAAGGTTCCCTTGCTCGAACGCCAGTCGAGTCCGACTCTAGGGTTGCGGTTCTCATCTCCGTTTCCAAGCCGAAGAGCCAGCGCTGTCCGAAGACGTTTCCGTGGTCATGTGGCCGGCATGACTAAACACCAAGCCGCACGGAACGCTGTTACCTTCCCACTGAAGTGGTACCTATTTATCTACTTGCAATTTCTTGCTTTCGAACTGCTAGGTTGGCAGGAGCTGGAACTAGAGACGGGAGCTCACTCCGTCATGCGGCACCCGGGTCTCGAACTGCTGAACTACTGACCTTCCACAGCCTGCAGGTCAGCGTCTTAACCACTTGAGCCACCGCAGCTCCTGGAACCCAAGGAGGGCTATACAAATAGGAGGCAGGCATGATCCTCTGTGAGACCATCAAGTAGGTACAGGATGTCCTTTCCCCAATTAGCTGCCCAGTTGGGACCACCCACCCCCACTATGCAATCCTAACAAAAGGTGTGCCAGTACCTGGCTATACCCCTGTGTCCTGCATACCAGGCAGCTATCCTCTCTTCCCACATGTCAGGTGTCATTTGATACTGACGGAGGACCTATACAAAGAAAGGAGAGTGTTTTCAGTCAAATCGCAAGGTTGATCCTCTTAGGAGTACACAGATCCCCCTTACACACACACACACGAACACCCACATACCTTGGAAAAGCACTAAGCCTCTGAATGCCAGGGCCAGAAGGCAACATCAAGGGAAGGCCTCTGCCTCTATGCCCTGTTGTTGGCCATCCAGAGGAACTGGTTGGCCACTGTGTGAGACAAGATGCTGGACTAGATGGACCACTGGTCTGATCCAGCAGGGCTCTCCTTATGTTCTTCCAAAGTCTTACCGTATGCTGAAAGATGGTTGATGGTTTTTAAACAAGCACCTGACTTGCTACAGCAAACCAAAGAGTCATCTGCTCCAGCACTCCATTTCCAGTGGGATGCTGTCTCCGAGGAAGGTCACAAGCAGGGCAGGAAGGCAACAGCCCTTCTCCGACTGTTTCCCCCCAGCATTCAAAGACTTGCCTGATTATATCAAGGTTCTGCAGAGGCAGAGGTTTTGTGCTTGAGGCTGGATCAACATACACAGCTGAGTAAGGTGGTGGAATGGGGCACACCTTTGTTGAATGCAGAAAACAAAACTCCCAGCAGTGGGGAATTATAACTCTAGATCAGTGGTGGCCAAACTGTGGCTTGGGAGCCACATGCGGCTCTTTCACACATATTGTGTGGCTCCCGGCAGGGCGGCTGGGGAAGCGAAGGGGATGCATGCCTCCCCAAACGATTTCACCTTCTCCAGCCAGTGTTCCCCTCCCTGGGTAGGCTTGAGGGGTGTGGGGGGGGGAGCAGAGAAAGAAAGCAACTCCAACTTTAAATGCATTCTCAAAGCCCCCCCTCAAGCCTACAAATATCATCGGACAAAGAAATATCATTGTCAATATCTATTTTTACCCCTTTTGTTTTTATTTTGGGCAGCCTCATTTAATGTTAATAGAAAGCAAATCTGCATTTTTTCCAATAAAAACATGTCTGTAATATTTCTTCATTTCATGCGGCTCTCAAACATCGGATGTTTATTCTGTGTGGCTCTCACGTTAAGCATGTTTGGCCACCCCTGCTCTAGATGCTCAGAGACACTCTGGTAATTAACAGGGTTATATTATATTATATTATATTAT